TCTCTCTGTATATGTGTGTGTGTGTGTGTGTGTGTGTGTGTGTGTGTGTGTGTGTGTGTGTGTGTGTGTGTGTGTGTGTGTGTGTGTGTGTGTGTCTCTCTGTCTCTTCTGCTATTAGGGCATTAACCCGTTTAATCCCACACTTTCCCCAGACGTGAACATAGCCAAATGTGTCAGATGTGTCATTGGTAGCTCTTGGCAATATTATTACTTTTTGAAAAAAAATTTTTTTTGGAAAAATGTGTGAAAAAATGTGTTTTATGGTCGTCCTCAATTGTGACGGGTGTGTATACTGAATGAAGATGTTTCTGCAGTCTTCAAAATAGTTCTATATCTCCTGAGGCCCAGCTGGTTAAACTCTGTCTGATCACATCCTTGGGTTACTATTGTGCATAAACAATTATTGTGCATAAACAATTATTGTGCAACACTGATAGGAATACTGAGATTAAAGACAAGGGGGGAAAAAATAATGCAACCATCGACGTATTTCAAAATTGTTACTTTGTAACATCATACATTTGTTATGTTAGTGCTACCAGTTACTTAATTTGTAACATTTGAGCTTTGGATTTAGTGCAGTGTTCACTGTAACTTTGCCAGTGCGAGATTTTAGTGTAGCCTTACATGCACTGTATTATCCCAGCGCTCACTATTATAATAATTGTGAATTTGTATGTTAATGTGTCTTCCCTAGCACTGTACACCATATTTAGGGCGAATCGCTTTGTTGTATTCCTGTTGTATGCTGTAGATTAAAGCATCTGCTAAATTAATAAATGCAAATCAGTTCAATTATTCCACATCACCAGTGACTTCAGAGTTTTTATGCAATGAAGCGGATCAAAAGTGTGAGGTCCCCGGCTCAAATGATTGATTTTGCTAATATTTATTCTGCAGAAAGATAACCATGTGAAGTGATGAAAGCCAAAATATTAAATGTCGTGGATGAATATTGACTCAGTAATCCACTATTTTGTAGAGGGGGGGTCAAAATGGCAATTTTCACCTGAGATTCAGAGCCAAATTACAGGAGAATAAAAATGACTTCAGAAAGATTGCAGCATCATAATGTTACTTTTTCACAGAGATTGGTAGGTCTATTCGTGAAATCTGTTGACTTCAGCAATCTTTGTTGCATTATGTGCCAATGGTGACCATTCAAAAATGGCGAAAGAGCACTTTTCAAGTTTTTTCTCCAAAGTTTGCAGGCCTGTAACTCAAAAAATATTAAAGATATCTTAATGCCCGTTAGATATTGGGTCTTAACGAACTTCTTTTTTTTGGCATCTTCATTTTTAAGGCCCTATATGGTTCAGTTCCAGAGATAATAGAATTTCAATATGGCTCCAGGAGTAAATCAATACATTTGACACATTTTCAGTTCACGTTCTCACTTAAATATTTAAATTTAACGAAGTCAAAAAAATATTTGTTATAAATTCTATATAATTTTCTTTTTCATAATATGTAACCGTCTCAAGATCGTTGCATAAAACATATTTGAAAAATGCATGTTGAAGGCACGATGATCTTAATCTTAGCTTCATATGCTAGAAATAAATCTGTTGTTATCTGTTAATTGAATAAAAGCGTGTGCTGATGTCCACCGTGTGTTTCAGGGCAGATGGCGAGCCCCAGAACCAGACGTGTGCTGAAGGAGGTCCGGACTGAAGACGAGAACAACGTGAGTGTCTTCATCAGCTCCTCATCCTCTCTCTCTCCTGTGGTGTGTTTAAAGCATGCGTGTTTGTGTGTCAGGTGTGTTTCGAGTGCGGCGCCTTTAACCCACAGTGGGTGAGCGTGACGTATGGCATCTGGATCTGTCTGGAGTGTTCGGGCAAACACAGAGGCCTCGGCGTCCACCTCAGGTCAGACTCAGTTGGTCTCACTGCGGCGCTTGATTTAGATGCATCTGAAGTATATCTGAAAATCTCAAGTGTGATTCATTCATTTATGAGTTTTCTCTTCATAGCTTTGTACGGTCTGTTTCGATGGACAAGTGGAAGGACTTGGAGCTGGAGAAGATGAAGATGGGAGGAAACAGGAAGTTCCGTATGTTCCTGGAGCTGCAGGACGACTATGACCTCAACTGGAGCCTGCAGGAGAAATACAACAGCAAAGCCGCTGCGCTCTTCAGAGACAAGGTGAGCCACGCCGACACCAGGGCCAGATTATTTTCCTCATCCATTGATCTGATGACCGTTTCGTTGATTCATCAGTTGAAAAACTCCAACTCTAATCGAAAAATTATTTAAATCTTTTTTCATTTAATTAGCAATTATTATAATTGTAACATTTCTTTATTTGAAACCATTATTTACAAAATGGTGTGCATTGTTGATGTAGTGAGAAGAAATGGTTGTAAACTTCTCCTTTCAGTGTCTAACAAGAAACATCTTAGAAAAATATTTAATTTTATATGTTATTACACTCCTTGGATAAATTGAGAATCACGATTTTTTTTTTTGTCTCAAATAGAGATCATGATTCTCCCACAATTCTGAACTTAAGCAAAATAATGTGTGACAGAATATTAATTGCTGCAGTCTGTTTAAAAGTCTTTTAAGTAATTTGAATGAATTATTAAACATTTTAATATACATGTATTTAAAATAAATTACTTAATATGCCAATTTTAAAATTAAAATGATGAAAAAGTGGTTTGAATGAAGGATTCAATGACTCACGCATAAATAGTTCACTTGTTTCATTACTGGATGAATCAGCGTATTTGAACGAATCTCTTGTATGATTCAATGACAAATACATTTTTTAACAATGCAATCGACACAAAGGTTATTTGAAGTGCCAGTTACTTTCAAAAGGTGATTTGCTCTATTTTGATCGCAACCATAGACATCAATGTTTATGTATCGAACTATAAACTTTCATCCCAGTATTTCTGTGATAATATGAATGACTGTAAGAGAAATAATACTGTATAGTTGAAAAGACTGTTTGTGAAGCAGTTTTTTACACAAACATGGTCATGTTAAAGGTTTAGTTCACCCGAAATTCTGTCATGAATTACTCACCCTCATGTCGTTCCAAACCCGTAAGACCTTCGTTCATCTTCAGAACACAAATTAAGATATTTTTGATGAAATCTGAGAGCTCTCTGACTAGGGTTGTGACGGTGAGGACATTTTCCCACCAGTTAGTCGACGTGTGACAACACCGGTAATACCGGTATCACCGCGAGGGCGGGGCGTTCGCTCTTTTCCTCGCTTTCCTTCGCTTTTAAATAGCTTGCAAAAGCGGCGTGCGCATTTTACTTTCACTTCCAAATAGCGACAATTCGGCGTAAAGCAATTGTTAGTTTGAATTTTCCCTCTTTTCCTCTCTTCCCTTCGCTTTTAAATAGCTTAATTCGAATTAGCGGCAATTCGGCGTCAATTGCTTGAATGCAACAACAAAATACAACATCGACTCACTTTAGCCTATATATAAAACATAGAACTTTTATTAACAAAACGAATACAAATACACCATGCTATAGGGCAGGCTATGCCTAATATAAAATAACAAATACCTTGCATAAAGTTTAAATAGGTAGCCTATACAAAACTGGAAATAAGTAAACATGTATAATATATAACCAAATAAATAAGAAACGTTGAATGTTTATTAGCAAAACGAGTAAGAAAGCTTGGAGGCACGGCATACACCTTGATGTCAAATAAAATAAATAAATTACACAAACTTTAAATAAAGTAAAAATCAGCAAACAATGTGGAACCAATTAAATAAGAAACGAATGTTTAAAAAAAACTTCCAAAATCACCTTAGATAAACGGCAAAAGTCAACAGTCTTTTCAAAATCCAAAATATTGCCAAACAGGCGCTTTTGCATTTCGTTTCTAAACTAAATCATCCGCGATCGTCTCGTCTGTCTCGCCTCACTCTCCTCGTCTGTCTCGCCTCACTCTTCTTGTCAGTCGTCTCGACTCACTCTCCTCGTCTGTCTCGCCTCACTCTTCTTGTCTGTCTCGCCTCACTCTTCTTGTCTGTCTCGCCTCACTCTTCTTGTCTGTCTCACCTCACTCTTCTTGTCAGTCAGCTCGACACACTCTCCTCACTGGAGAAATTAAATCCGATCTGTGATGCGACTTCCGTTCGGCACGCTGCATTGAGCAGCCGTGTTCAGTTTTTAATTGTAGTGTCTGTTCTTTTACTGAACTAAATAATTTTTGTTACTATAAAAAAAATCAAAACGACTGTGGGGGTCGGTGCCACGGTGGGCAAGTGACGTAACCGGTGTTGCGGCTTAACAACGGTATCACCGTCAGCACCGTCTATCGCGGCAAGCCTATCTCTGACCCTGCATAGACAGCAACACAACTGAAATGTTACCAGGTCCAGAAACGTAGTAAGGACATTGATAGACAACAGTCCTTGTGACATCAGTGGCTCAACTTCAATTTGCGAAGCTATGAGTATACTTTTTGTGCACAAAGAAAACAAAAATAACAGTTTATTCAACAATTCTTCTCCCCCGAGTTACCGTCTTCCTCTATTTTGGAGAGTACCACGACACATGCATGCGCTTTCCCCAGAACGAAATCAACGTAATCAGCGTTGTTTATGTTCAAGAGAAATCGCGCACATGCTGAACGTAAACATCGCTGATTACGTTGATGACATTCTGGGGAAAGAGCGCGCATGCGTCGTGGTACTCTCCAAAATGGTGGTGGGGAGGGGGGATTAAAAATCACATGCCAGTGCCACTAAAAAGGACTATGGTGAGCAACTACCAAGCCTACAGGTAAATATAGATCTTTGCAACATTGGTAAGTTAGCTGAAAGGATAAATCCAAATTAGACGGTTAATATTGACCTCAGTTGCCCCGTTCATGTCACAAAATAAATCTTTTGACTTACATTTGAGGGCATGCACTAGGAATGGGAGAAATGACCAAAACCTTATTTCCATGATGTGAGTAATTTTATTTCACGATAACAATTTATATCATGATATAGTCATTTTTGTTATTTTATCTTTGTTATTACCGTATTGGCCCGAATATAAGACGACCCCCCTTTTTCCAGATGTACCTTTTGGAAAAAGGCTTTTTAAAAAAAAAATCTTGTTTTTTTCTCAGTAAAACACATTTTGTCTTCAATTATTTTCATATTACATATTTTTCCTATTTAAATTTTTGTTTTGAAAGTATGGTAAAAACTGGTAAAATGTACCAACGATCACATAAAAAAAAAAATACACTTTTTGATATACCATAAAAAAAAAAAAAACAGGTAGCCCATCTGAATTAGCACATTTAGGCTATCCATCTAATAGTAGCCTACCAAAATCTAATTAACAGTAGAAGTTAAATCTTACCGTAGTCTTCAAATCTGGGTAGTCTTACGTTTTAAAATCACAAAGGGAGTTTGGTCCCATCAGGCTAACGTGACCGTCACGACTCATGCAGCTGTAAGCTTTTCTTTTTCTTTTATTTTTACTCGCGATCTTTACAACACGCATTACATTACGTATTTCATGGCACACTGGTTTTATGCGTATTTGGCGCCACCTATTGTTGTGGGTGTATTATTGACATGTCAAAGTCTAGACCCTGAATATAAGAAGACCGCGTTTTTTCAGATGTATTTCCAAGAAAAAAACATCGTCTTATATTCGGGTCAATACGGTAATAATAATTGTGTATTTGTTTGCTTTGTCGTATTTGTTTGTTTGTTTTATTTCATTCATAGAGCACAATTAAAACAACACGGGTCAAGGTTGACCAATGTGCTGTACAATCAACTAAGGGTAAAGTAAACTAACAACAGCTAATAAAAATGAGCCCAACATCTCAGAAAGGAAAAAGACTAATAAATAATAAGCAAATAAAGCAAACTTCACATAAGAAAACAAGAGCCACTTTGTTAGATCAATCTGTTGAGCCAAACACTAATTCTAATAAATATAGTCTCAAATTTCTTTTAAAAGAGCCCAAAGAAGGTGAAAGTCTGAGATATAAAGGCAAGCTATTCCAAAGTTTTGGGGCCACCACTGAAAATGCCTGGTCACCACTCAATTTTAATCTTGTCCTAGGGACATCTAAAATCATCTGGTTAGATGACCTTAGATTCCTTTGGGGTTTGTGTACATGTAAATGATCAATTAAATAAGAGGGTGCTAAATTGTGTAGAACCTTATATACTAAGATAAGTAATTTGAAATCGACCCTGTAATGAATTGGAAGTCAATGTAAAGTAGCTAAAATAGGTATTATATGCTGGCAGGGCCGGATTTACCTCTTTTCGTGACATAGGCAAAATTGTTTTTGCCATATTAATATAATAGACCTAATATTACCAGCCAAGCAAACAAAAATATTTCTTAATCAGTGGAAACCGTTACAGTGTTTTCTAACACAATAAGCACTTGCGTTTAGTCAATAAAAATGTAGATCGAATGTAGTTCTTTATTTGTTTCAGAACTGAGAAAGACCATGCCATTAATAGGCACGGCGATGTGGCAACATAACCATGGCCGTACCCAGGCTTTGAAAATTAGTAAGGTCTTACTCTCCTCTTTGGTGTTAAAGAATTGTGCTATAATAACCCCTGCAAATACAACTCATTATATATATATATATATATACACTATAAACACTTTTAAGGAGACCGACATGTAGATGCTTGTGAAAGATGTTTTCTCTGTTTTGGAGGGATGATTATTTTTAAGTCATACCCTATTTATTGCATCAAAATTTGTTTATACTTTACTATATTTATGGATAATTTTATCAGTTTATTGCAACTATACATAACTACAATAACTTTGTCTAGTGCTCTTATGAACGTTTATAGCATGATTTGTGAAAATGTAACTATACTGAATGACATAACATAGACTTTGTGGCTAGTTTTTGCGTATTTCATTTCATTCTGTAACCTACTTGTTCGACAGATCTGTGTGTAGGCTAAAATGCTACTGTTTTTGACAGCGTTGATAACGTTTATGACTGATAATATCATGATATTTTTTTGTGTTTCCCTTACCGAATGTCGTATCCTGTCAGCAAAAACCTGTCCATGGGCTTTTTTGATTGATTTCAGTTTAAGTGCCGGCAATGCAGTGTTGCCAGATATTGATACTAAAACAAACTAAAAATAAACCGAAATTATTTGCAGTCTTTTGCAAATAAGATAAGATAAAGACATCGCTGACTCTAAACTGCAACTTCCTACGTGTAAAAATAAATAAATAAATAAAACCTTTCTAAAGTGTTGAATTAAGTGGAAAAGACGAGTCCAAAAACGCTTATAATAACTGAATCTGGCTGCCTTCACTCACAGCTCTCTCAAGCCTCATTCACTCTGCCAACGTCTCGCAGCGATCATTTTCATAACAGGGACGCTAAACATTCTTGCAAACTGTCTAAACTGAATTATACATGTCATGCAGGCATTCATATGAGGAGTTTCACAGCAAATTAATCATTCAAAGAACAAATTTTATTTTTGAACATTAAACATTTACCGATGTCTAGACCTCGGTGGTGTAGCGAATCAGCTCAAAGGGGAAATATGAATAATTAATAATAACTAGTTAGAATTAATTATAAATATTTAGATCCGCTGTATGCATTCATTTGACCTCTCAGTTAACTGTCTGTTAATTCTAAGAACGTTAATTTCCTGGTTAAGGAATGAGCATGTAGCAAAAATCTGCATGATTAGGCACTCCAGTTATGAGCAAACAATGAACCACCTCAAGTGTGATACAAGTAAGACTTTATTAACTACATAAACACTTAAACTAGTCTAACATACACACACGCGCATACAGTTGGTATAGGAAAAGGGTTAAAGCTTAGGCAGTAAAAAGAAGAGAAATAAAAATATGAAGCTATGGTATCATTTGATATTCAGCAGATCTACAGCCTGAAGGAAACATCAGTTTCTTAGTTCAAACACACCTTTGTAAAAAGGTGCAAATGATACTTAATGTATCAATTAATAAGACTAAGTTTGATACTTGCACGTCTTGTCTGTCTGAAAGAGAGTCCCGATGCAATCTGAAGGCTCAAGTTGATCTTTGCTGAAGTTGGTTGATGAAAAGAACCAGTTTGAGTCAGAGGATTTTGGTGAATGGAAAGTCAAGGCTGAAGCCTGGCGCGAACTTAGGGTGTCTTTAGGAGCATTCTAGCTCACATCCTCATCTTCTCAGAATCTAACAGAACCGCAGACTGAAAGCGGGTCACTGATGTGAGGCCTTTAAGGTCTAACAAGATTCACGCCTCTCAGGATGAGCTTGTCCAATGAGAAAGGCTGAAATTCCAAGTGGGAGGTTGGAGATACTGGGGAGTTTTATGACCCTTTGCGTGAGAGCATGGTCATTTGCATATGGAACTTGAATCAAAATTACTAAAGATGCTTAGAACACTAATATATTGCCTATGTACCAACATATAATATACACTCTCGTTTAGATCATCAGAAGACAAATTCATAGATACTAAACATGGTAGGATTACATATAGGTAAGATTACATGAACAAGTGGTTCTATCATAAGCCTGCATAAAACAGTATACAATATACAAGGACAGTAACAACATACAAAATGACCTGAAGGATATGCGTGTTCATTCAAAGAAAGGTTTTCCTATGAATTAATTAGAGAACAGTCCATTTCTCTGGGCATTGTGTGTCTTTCTTATGAGGAAAATTAGTGAGTTTCTTTACCCGCATTCCTTTGCGCAATAAAACCAGTGATATCAGCATTGGTTGCCATGGAACCAGAGGCCTGTTCTGCCTTTCTGAGGTGTTAGATGCATTTCAGGGGAAGAGTCCATAGACCCTCGTAATTGGCCCTTTGGTTAGGTGAGGGGGTGTTAGATATTATTTGTTAAATATAACAAAAAGTTGTGTCTGATTGGTCCAAATGCTATAGTGGCCTCATAACTGGTTATGGGCCTGGACATAACCACTTCGGGAGTGCATTATTGCTCTAATTTTAACGGCCTGGAGTCACAATCACACATCAATTGTTCAGATGATTTATTTCAAGACATTTAACATGTTTCTGCACCTCATCCCAAACCTTCCGTTGCAAATTCCAAAACGTCATTTTAGAGCTAATAACAGAGGCTTGAACCATTGATATGCAGGCTAATGCAGTTATCAGAGAGAGGGAGAGAGAGATTAAGTGCGTGTGAATACTTGCGTCTGTGTGTCTTTCAGCAGTATTCAGCAGCAGCGTCTAGTAATAGTGAATCTTTAAGTTGAACTGCTTCAAGAACCTCGCTACTGAGAAATGCAAAACCATTTTATTGATAAATTCGCGGGGCAGCCGCAGCTCTGACAAGTTTCTGTTTGCGTCTCCGCGTGTGTGCGTGTCTATAGACTACTGTGTGTGCATCTGTGAGAGAGAACGGGAGAAAGAAAGCGTGATTTCCGAACATAAAAAAGGTTGAAGACATGGAAATAGTTTGTCATGGCCCCCCCTGGACGAGCAAGCATAAGCACGTGCCTAGAATACCTATGCGTAAATTCGGCCCTGTATGCTGGTGTTTACGAACACCCATCAAAAATCTAGCAGCAGCATTCTGCACTAATTGTAAGAGAGTTAACAGTGATTGACTCATACCCGCATACAAGGAACAAGGACTAGGAGTTCCCAAACCAAATTATCTCAGTCTTTAAATTTAAAAACATTTGCTTATATCCATAATTTAACTTCATGCAGACAATTTAGAAGACATGTAATTGACCTTTTTATCCTGTTTCCGTTAAGGTAGATGCACCTGAATATCGTCAGCAAAACAATGAATAGAGACTCCATGCCTTTGAAACATAGAACCCAAGGGCAGCATTTACAATAAGAACAAGATTGGACCAAGAATCGAACCTTGGAGAACACCACAACTCAGTGGAGCAGATTTTGAATAAAATTGACCGATATTAACACAAAATGTCCTATTAGAAAGAAATGATCTGAACCACTCAAGAGCCATGCCTCGAATACCCACAGTCTTTTCTAGGCGAGTAATAAGGATATCGTGATCAATTGTATCGAATGCTGCACTTAGATCTAGTAAAACTAGAAGACTAGAGTCACCAGAGTCAATCAAAATAAAATATAATTTAATACTTTGAGCAGGGCTGTCTCTGTGCTGTGGTTTATTTTAAATCCAGATTGAAACATTTCAAAGATGTCATTTTGAGCTAGAAAAGCCTGTACTTGATTTAAAACGGACTTCTCTAAAACTTTAGATAAAAATGGTAATTTTGAAATAGGATGATAATTTGATAAAACACTCTGATCCAAGTTGGATCTTTTCAAGAGGGGCTCTACAATAGCATGTTTAAAACTTGCAGGAACTACTCCTGCTGTAAGACTTTTATTAACTAATGTCAATAGGCTTGGGCCGATAATCTCAAAGGTCTGTTTAATCATTTTTAATGGGATGATATCACGGCAACAATTTGTAGGTTTCAACTGACCAATTATCTCTGATAAAGACTGATTGATTAAATATCACAGACGTGCAATTAGTAGCTGAAGAGTCAAAAGAACCAGGCACAATCTGTATTCTAATATTGTTAATTTTCTGAACAATAAAAAGGTAACAAATCATCCCACACCATAGCAGAAGGATTAAGTACATAATTAATCGTATTAAACAACACTTTTGAATTACCAATTTACCTCGAGATTAACTCAGTAAAATAGTTGGTTTTGGCCGTTTTTACAGCATTCTGATAAGTAACATAATACGTTACATTTTTGAAAACTCCTGCCAGGGTGAAGATTTTCAAAAACTCC